GATGGGCAGGGATGGTGTCCCTAGCCTCTGTTTGCCAGAAGCTGGGAATGGGCGGCAGGGGATGGATCTCTTGCTGATTACCTGTTCTGTTCATTCCCTCTGGGGCACCTGGCACTGGCCACTGTTGGAAGACAGGATAGTGGGCTAGATGGACCTTTGGTCTGACCCAGTAGGGCCGTTCTTATGTTCTTAACTTCTCTCCCACAGCCCAGATACTGTCACCCAAGCTCCATCCAAACCCATGACAGAGGTTCTGACCACAACCCAGCAATACACTGACAGGTCTCTATCCCTGCTGCCTTGGGGAGGGAAGGAGTCAAATCCACGCTGTGCTGTCATTGCCAGTGCCAGCAGCGTGTTGCTCAATATAAAAACAATTAGCAGTAGCTCCCTGGACTGTCTCCCCCCAACATCACTTGTTTTATTGTTGGTCAAACAAGCTGAGAAGTCTGGAAATGGCTGGGAAATTCATGAACCAGACAATACTGTCTAGAATCTTTCCGATCAAACAGCACCTTGGGCCTGACTTGTAGAGGTGCTGAGCACTCACCGCTCCCACTGCCTTCTGTGGGAGCTTACCAACAATTTCCGCTATCAATATAAAGTCTAACACACAGCGGAGCAGTTCTGGGTCCATCCAGCAGAGGGCAGCAGGTATAAACACAGCCTTACCCGCCTGCAGGTATTTTGCCAAGGTGGCACTCTTACTTCTCTAAACTTCGTACCTTTACCAAACTTAAAGGGAGCTCCCCTGTCCGGGACGAGTCCATGTACTTTTTCAAGTCCTGATTCAGATACTCAAACACCAGATACAGCTTCTTCTGACTGTGCACAACATCTAGAAGCCTAAGAACAAAACACAACCATACCCAGTCTTATTAAAAACAGTCCTGACCAGCTTTATACAGCAGTGCTCCAAACCAATACTTATTTCTGTAATGAAACAGCGGTAGAACAGGACAGTGGGTAACATAGATATGTTCTCTTCTAGCAGGCCAACAATCCCTCTGCTAGCTTCTTTTCTTCAGCAGCTGAATGGAATAGGATTTATTTGAAATGCCTTGTGCCTTACTAGCTATTATCTATCTTCTCTACATTATATTAGCAGCAGCTAGTTTGTAAGCGGGATAATAGGGCCAGATCACGAATTTGTGTAACTTGGCATAGCTCCATTGAAAGGCAGAGCTATGCCAGTTGAGGAACTGGCCCGTTGTATCTGGTAAGACTGGAGGGAAGAGTTTGGTGCGGGTGGCAAACCATCCTGCACGTGAATGGACATTCCTGAAAAGAACAAGGACAGCCTGATGAAAGCAAAAATGTAGCCAATACGCATTAGTTGGGTCATGGTGGATTCTCCATCACTGACCATTTTTAAATCCAGATGGGAGCTCTGCTCTCGGAATTACTGTGGGGAAGTTCTCCGGCCTGTGCTAGACAGGAGGTCAGACTAGATGATCACGATGGTCCCTTCTGGCCTTGGAATCTATCGGTACCTCTACACGGCAGTACAAATCCCACAGCACTGAGTCATAGGCGACAACTCCGTGGGTGCTCCGGGGCTGGAGCACCCATGGGGAAAAAGTAGTGGATGCTCTGCACCCACCGTCACCCAAGCACCCTGCCCCGCCTCACCTCCGCCTCCTCCCCTGAGCGCGCCGCGTCCCCGCTCTTCTGCCTACCTCCCAGCGCTTGCCACCACCGAACAGCTGTAGCAAGGAGGGAGGGGGGAGGAGCGGGAACGTGGCGCGCTCAGGGGAGGAGGTGAGGAAGAGGAGGGGCCAGGGCGGGGATTTGGGGAAGGAGTCGAATAGGGGCAGAGTTGGGGCAGGGACTTTGGGGCAGGGGTTGGGATGGGGGCGGGGCAGGGGTGGAGTCAGGGCGGGGGCCGATGGGGGTCGAGCAACCACCGGCGCCAGAATAAGTCGGCGCCTATGCACCGAGTCTTGGCACCTGGGTCAGCTGACCTGGGCTTCCAGGGCTCAGGCTGCAGCTCTGTAAAACTGCAGTATAGATGTGCAGCCTCGGGCTGGAGCCTGGGCTCTGAGACCCTCACCCTCGTGCGGGTTCTCAGAGCCTGGGCTCCAGCCTGAACCCGAACATCTACACTGCAATTGTATAGCCCCATGAGCCCGAGTCTGCTGACCCGGGCCGGCCGTGGCCGGTCTGTAGCTTTTTCAGTGAAGTGTAGATGTATTGAATCTAGCTGGAAGGGTAACTGTAATCTGCACCAGTCTGCTGCTGCTCTCCAAAACAGCCACTCCAGAGCTGCAGCTCTGGCCTGGATTTTAAGGAGGGGAGAGGAAATCTTGCTTGGGAAGGTCTTTCAGAAAGGAGCACGCCTTGACCAGGAAAGCTTGGTTGTAGCTGGGCAGCGCCGGCTAATGCTGAGAAAAGGGGCGAAGTTAACCAACCCCCCGAGAGTTGGAGCCCTGCTGTAAGACACCCTGTTGTTTTTCATAGCCAAAGCATGGCATTCGGTTTCCTTGGCCATCTAGCTCATTTCTGTGGATTTGGTGTCTGATTGTCAACACCCGGACACATTTTTACATCATGTTTCCTGCATTTGAATTTCTCCACAAAAGTCTCGCAGCCACGGTCATCTTCTCCATTAGCTCAGCAAGGTGACCAAGTTTAAAAAAAAACAAAAAACACCAAGGACATTTCCAGGGGAAAAACAAAGTTTAAGATGCTCAATGGAGAAAAAGGCCATTAAGTTCTCTACAGCACTAATGCAACCGCAGAAAGAAAAAGAAACACATGAAGACTACGAAATTGTAAATTTGCTCCACTTTGAACGCTAATTCACGCTGTTCACAGAGATTGTTCATCTGATTTTTAAGTTCCAGACACTTCTTAATGTGTGGCTGTGTCTAAAAATATAACCCATCAACTGGAACTGTGGCCTTTTCCATTGCCCTGTGTCAGGGTAATGACTCTGAATAACACTCAGCGACTTTGATAGGCACTGTTTGAAAAATAGCTAAGTGAGTGGTTAGGGCAGAGAGCGAGCAGAAAACGATGTTTTATACGTGACTGACTGAGAAATGCCTTGTCCGTTTCCTTTTTATCAACAACCCTTTTACTTGGTACACACAAAGCTGGGAGATGTTGGTTAACATCCTTATGCGCCTCAGCTTGACACAACTGCACTTGATCAGTAGTGAGTGAGTCGTATTGCAATGACCCGGCCGCCCCAATTCCATGGCCAGACTGAGTGCTTCGCTTACCTCACTATGTTTGGATGCTTAAGTTCTTTGAGCAGAGAGATTTCTCGGATTGCTGTACTCGGAACCCCTTCTGTCTCCCTATGGGGAAAAACAGACTTTATTGCATTCCTATTATTTCCTGGGGTGATATTAGCAGGTAAATGCCAATTCAGCTAGTCATGTGGCTCACAGACATCTTCCTTTCTGACCTTTCTTTTTGGTGGATACTCACAGGGGCTTAGGACAGAAAATATAAGGTTTCTCGATCCAGGACCCTCTCCATATGTATCTAGACAACTTAGGCCTAGATTTTTAGGAGAGCTCAGGATCAGATTTTCAAGTGCTCAGCACACATAACTGGGGCCAGAGCTCAGTCATACATGTCATTGTGGGTGAGGTGTGCTCCTGAAAATCTGGCCTTTCTTTATACGGCCAAGTGAGAGCCCTAAGCCAGCCTGGTTGTCCCACTGGCATGCGCAGAGTCAGCCTAGCCAAGTTCCAACAAGTGTTGGCCCTGGTTTGAGGCTGTCCATGCTAGGGAGAGAACTGCTTTAAGACCAGCTTGAGGAGGAGCAAGCGGAGGGGAATGTTATGACAAGGAGCATACAAGCCAGTTTCTGTGGCACAGGCTATCTTAGAATACTTGTTCTCAGACTGAGGCGTGTTTCCCATTCCTGTCGGGGAGCTCTTAGCTTGTCATGCTGATCAGTAAGTTTGAATGAGGGGTGAGGATTGTGTGCAATTAGGAAGGTTAGGCCTTGTCTACAGTGCAGCACAAACTGGCCTGGCTAGATGATGGTTCTCGAGTATGGTTTGGACACAGCTGTGCTTGATAACCATTTCAAGCTTGACTGGAGATGGCACGGGTTGCTGCTCCCTTCTGGACCAGGTTTTGATCCTAAGAGGTCTAGACTATGCTATAGACAGGCCCAGCAGGGCACTATCGTGGCTTCTTAATGCTGTGATGTGGGTTGCCTAACCATGTTACAACAGTAGCTGTGTTGGGTAAACATTTCAGACACGGTTTCAAACCCTAGCGTTGGCATGACCCTAGAGTTCTGGCTTTGGGGTGGAATGTGTGAGCTGGACCCTGGTTGGGAGCGTGGACACTCACGAATCCAGACGGATCTTCTTCAGAGCCACCAGCTGGCCTGTCTGTTTGTTCCTCGCCTTGTACACCACTCCATAGGTGCCTTCCCCAATCTTCTCCACCTTCTGGAACACATCCTGGAACGTGTCCATGGTCCGTCAGCAGGCTTGTCACTGAAACATTCCTCCATTCATTAGTCAGAGTCCCACTTTGCCATTTCAGACCCGCACATTTTAACATTGCCCTCTGCTTCAGAGTACCAGCAGGCCCCGCCTTTCAATGAACATCCCAGAAACTGAAGGTATTGTTGGATGGAAAAAGGTACTGCAATTGCATTAAACCCTTTCCATCGCAATATCCCATCCGTTCCCTAACCCCTGCAAAGAAAACTCCCTTTAATAATACCCCACAGTGTAACCACATTCAGCAGCCTAGAGGCAGTGCTTATGTTTATTCACATCCAAACAAGAGCCTCAAGGCATGTCTCATGGCAGTGCTACTCTATAAACAAATGTGCAAATCCCAAGCTGTGCTACATACTATACATAGGCAGGGAAGATGCTTGCCCTCCAATGCAAAACCTCCAAGCTGTTTCAGTCCAGTGCCTCAAGCAATTCTCAACTACCCTGGGTTCAATTTCTAATGCACACATCAGTCACTAAATACCCCTCCTGAATTAAATAATACAGTTATTAGGCGAATACGTTGGAGAAAATGACTAGTAGTCAGAGGACTGGACTGATCCTGACCATCTAAGATCAATCTCTCGCTCAAAGATGCCTGTCTCCTCCTGTGACTTTGAACAAGCCACTTACTCACCCTGCCTCACCGTCCCCTTTTGTTAAATGGGCTTGGGGGCTGTGAGAATGAGTTATGAATTAAAAGCCCTATTAGCGCTAAGTATTACTGCTATGTACATCTTATCAGTTCAATACCATCCGCTCTATTTTCAACCAACAGTCTCCTAATTAGGTGTAAAACCATTTGTCCTTTCCCAGCCCGAGTAGCCCCAGGCCTCCCTGTATTAAACTTCCTAAAGCCGACTCTGATGGCCTGTAGAAAATGGTCCAGCTGCAACCGTGTCCCTTGTGATGGGCCATAATTACTGTATTGCTCTTCCCCCTATAAGTCTATGGCTAGCATTTCTGCATGAAAACTGGCCCCTGCAGCCTGTGGGGAAAGAGATCTAATACTTTAAAGATGGATTTGCCATAATATACCAGCTTTCCTTCAATATTTAACTTAAATACTGTGAGGTTGGAGGGTAGGTTTTAAGGCAGGCATGCAGCCCCTCCTATGCAGGCTGGGCAGTTTCTGCACTCAGTTTCCTGTGTCCAGTGTGAAATGGCCATCTCCTCTCCATGCCCACTGTATGCTCCTGCCCACATGCTTAGCTCACCTTCTCACTGTAGCCTTCCTGCTGATCTACTGGGTTGCCAAAGGGTCAAAATTCATTCCACTCTCGTGCCTAGGTCATTTGACCACTAGGGGGAGACATAATTTAAAATGTTATGGTGTCTAAGTTACAATCAAATGCACTCGCTGGTGCTGGCCACTGCTGGGGTAAGAGGAAGAAAGAATTTTGTTCAGTGGCCTTCACACCCTTCCAGCTGTTAGCCAGCTGGGGAGGATGACGACCCAGACAAGGGACACAAGCAGAATTGCAGTGGAAGAAATGTAACATGACGGGGGATCAATTTAGTTACCCCGTTTTCCACAATCTTAAGTATAATTGCTAACAAAATCAATATGATAATAAAAGTGGGAGATCGACAGCGACTGTCCAGGAAACAAGTCACTTAGGGGCTCATCCTCCATGCTGAGGGACAGCTGAGAACTGTGCAGGGACAGAGCGTACGCTCCTTGGGGCGTGTTTATACTGCACCTAGCACAACGGAGTCATAGTCCATGACCAGAGCGCCTCGGCGCGACCATAATACAAATAACTTTAATAAATGCCTTTATGCCTTGCAAAATGGCCAACAAACATCTACCAGCCCAAGCAGTCTGCCCTTAGTAAGATGATGGAGGGGGGGGTTTACTTATCAGGCCAAAAAAAAATTTGGTTTTGGCTTGTAGTATTCTGTAAGGCTGCCTCAAGAGGCTCTCAATTCCAATGTAAAGCAAAGGGAAGAGGCCTCTTTATGCCACATTTACTGTATTAGTCACGGTTCTCTTCCTTGGCGACTCTCTCCCATACCCTCTGACGATGTGGAATGGCAGGGCATACATGCGTCCACTGACTGCACAGATCTTTGGCATGGCTGTGCGAATAATGACCTAAAATGTCCTCAGTTGTTCCACAGCTGGGCTAGTAGCTTAAAAACTAATAGCCCAAATTAAGATGGTTCAGGCCACCCACAAAATAATTGTATCTGAATGTTACTAGTAAGTTGTAATGTGTGCATGCTCTAGTCCAGGCCTTTGGGAGAACCAAACTACATCTCAAGACTCCATCTCAGGTTTTACAGTGAGCCCAGAGCACATGAAGACAAGGCTTAATAACTGTGTGAATAAACATACAGTGCAACATAATCAAACAAGATAGTGAGCTGTATAAATGATAGGCAAGTCTCAGGTCTTGGTTTCAGGCACCAGGTAATGTGGAACCTAATATACACCTAGCTCCCTCTGGCTTCCGTATTGGGAATTCTCTAGCTAGAGTTTCTTTTATTGTATGTCACCACAGAATCTACAAGCCAAACAAGTAACTGAAGTGCAAAGTGTTGTCCAGTTGGACGTCACAGTGAATGCTGCTCCCCACCTCTCCTTGGGAGATTTTCTAGAGCAGTTGAGTTTGTTTGTTTTATTCCCCTCCCACAGACATTCTCTTTCCCCACCCCACGTTAATGTTTGTCTTCATTTGCAGCAGTATGGCTTTGGTAAACAGATAGGTCTTGTAGTGTGTTCTGAAGGTAGACAAGCCTTGATGTAGTCTCATGTCCTCCTCCCGTAACTCTTCCAAAGCCAGGTACCCTTGAAAGAGACCCATTATTAAAGAACACCCCCCTGACTCAGTTCCCTGTGTCTTCAGCAGAGTTACAGCAGGGATGAATTCAGGCCCCTTAACACGAATGCAGTTTTTTATCACTAACAGAAGCAGGCTGCATGCTCTTTTCATCTCCTTTATTTATGAACATTTCAGTCAAAGAACACGTTCAGTACAATAATAAAACAGAGACAATTTAGGTTTTCTTAAAGGAAAGCACCCCCAGGATCAGACTCTCTCCTACTCTCGTCCTGTAAAGGAGGGAAACAAATGACTAACCTCCGTCTGCGGGGCACCACAATTTTATATTTCAGAATTCATTGGGTCAAATTCCTTCCTCAAACGCACGCACCCAACTCCCACTGACGCCAACAGACACTGTCCACGCTCGTCTCAGTCTGAGCTATTGACTTTAACTGCAAAGATGCACCAGCTAGTGTAATAAATTGGTGCGTCATTTTCTTGTTTCTAGAGACCTGGGTTCAAATCCTGACTCAGCTCTTGTGTGATGAGGATTTGGTCTTGTCCTCTGAACAGATTTGCTTGAAGTTGCCATTCAATTCAGCATGCTTCCCAGTCTCTTTTCCAGACAGGCTTGAGCACTGGAACGGTGGGAGTTTGTAAGGGTCAGGACTGAGGTGCACTGGCAGAGCTGCATGGGGCCCATGACTGGAATAGTGGAGGGTATTTCAGATTAGGTCTGAAGCTTATTGACAGAAGTGTGAGGGCGAACCAGCTTAAACCTCTGGTATCTCTGACTTTCACAGGCACTCAGTTCATCCCATTGATGTGACGGGACAGAAAAGAGTGATAAAAATGAGACCCTGAAAACACCTAAGGCAAATGCACGTTCGGAGGACATCCAAAACCTGAAACACTGTGGAAAGGGGCAGCAACCTCGGAACAGGATTGGGGCTCATGGTGCCAAAACAGCAAAAGAGCAGCGGGATGCAGAGAAGGACGGAAGGCAGGTGATGCATTTGAGACCTGGACTCAGTCCAACAACACCTTCCTCCAGCAAGGCTAGGAGGCACTGCTCTCCACCTGCCCCTGTCTCTCTCGGAAATATTGCCGCTGCTCCTGTATTGCCTGCTCCAGCAAGGGCAGATTCATCCCTTCCACGCACGTCAGCACCCGAGCCTTCAGCACAGGCCCCTCACCTGCAAATATAAAATACTGAATGCAGCTTCTGGAGAGGAGAACTGTTACGTAGCATCTTTTGCACAGACTGAACCCCCACTGTTACATACTAGGACTTGAAAGAGAAATTGAGAGAGAGGCAGGAGAAAATAAGGGGTTGAGCTGAACTTTAAAAATAGGCGGCGAGCGACTGAAGCAGAGAGTTATGGGGAGATTGTTCCATAGAGCAGGAGCTGTGGCAGGCCAGGAGTCCTGGGTTCTGAAACTAGCCCTGTCGCTGACTAGCTGTGGGACTTTCTGGTCTTGTCCTGTTTCATTGCCTCACCTGCAAAATGGGAACAATTCCCTGTGGTGCTGTGAGACGGAAATCATTTGTGTTTAGACTGTGCTTGGAGACAGTCAGCTGGAAGGCAATCCAGAAAGGCATGGTGTTACAAATCATGTATGTAATCAGTCTCAAACTAATTAAGAAGAATTCCACTCACTGATGATGATTATTACAAGGTGTTGCCTGGGACAAAGCCACTCAGCTTCACTTGGCAGTCGTACAGCCAAGCCAACATTTGCTTTCTACGTTTTATAATGCAAATAAAATGATCCTCCGAGCACCATAATAAATTGGATCTGGCGCCCTTCATCACCGAGCTTGTCGGACTGCTTTCACGCCTCACGTACCAGGCCTCAGAGTGGGGATGTATTTGTGATGCTCTGAGGGAAGGAGAAGAGACGCAAAGATTTCTAAGCTGTGGCTCAAGGTAAACAGCGTGTTGCAATGTAGTGAGTTAAATGTGTTTGCAAATTACAAAATACAGATGAGGAAAGGCAATTACAGTTATTGAAAATTTAGGGTTGGGATAGAAAGGTTCGGGCGGGGCGGGGGGTATTCTCCTTAATTTCCCACGGTACATGTGCAGACACACATCCCTGCTGCGTTAGCTGTGTGGAACTTGCACTTTGCTCACTGTGTCGGCTGCTCAATGCACAAGCATCGGGTCCTGTTTGTGGAGCTATGCTAATCCCAAA